CCTCCACCCCCCCAAAACCCCACAAATAAAAACACACCTCTGGAGAGCCCTTGTCAAAAGTATTTTTACCTCCATTTTATCTCTAGCATCTTGCTGTGCATCTCTCAGCTGCCTGGATTTCTCTCCACTTGTCTCTCGTTTGGCAGAAAGCTGTACGGAAATATCACCAATAACTTAAGTAGCAAGATTCTGTTTTAGTAGTAGATCCAGAAAGAAAATAATTAGTTAAATTAGTGAAGAACACTGACAGGATTCTAACAAGGAACACAAGGAGACGTTGGCAAAAAGCAAATCAACAGTTCATTATATTTTGTATTAGCCAAGGTATTTTACCTCATCAAGCTTAGCTCGGGTTTCATTAAGCTCCTGATTATAAATGGTATATTCTAATGCTCTCCTCATTTTATCCCATTTCTGGTACTGAGCCAGCTCTTCTTTCTCCTCTTCTAGGGTATGCAGTCGCTCTTCAATGTATTTCAACAACTCATTGATCTTCTCTCGCTTGCCCTCTTTAGAAAAGATGACAAGATTGAACTTCAGTTAAACAGTGTAATACATTCCTGTTCCTTTAAAGCTACACCTCCTCCAGTCACCAACTATTTGTCAACAGTTATGAAAAATGAAAAGGAGAACCCATGTCCAGAAATTCCCCAGGAAAACATCTCAACAGCAGAACTGTTGATACCAGTTATGCAAGGCAACACAAGCATGTACTCTCTTAGCTAACACACTTAAAATAATTAGACTATACTACATAAACTTTAGCATTTACATAGCAGTAGGTATCCTGATTTTCGGATCACTGCCAGCTGACATCACTCATGTGTTTTGAACAGTACAAATATCCCTACTAGCCTAGCTAAAACATTTCATTTTTAAAAGCACACATGAAGTCACTTATTACACCTTTTGAGATATATAAAATCCAGGGATGAAACAACATCCTCTGTATCATTTAACACACCACAGATAAAATCTATCTAGCAATCAGCTTTACTGAAAAAGCCTTAAATAAAAAATAATAGAGCCTTAAATAAACCTTCAGAGTCAATGGAATTACTGTGGCATAAAGCATTCATCTCTTAAACTATTTTTACCTGTTTCTTTCATTAGCGAAATGCTCTCTTCTTTACGTTCATCATATACTCTGGTACCAGCTACTTCTCTTAGTAACTTCAGTCTTTGAGAGTCAGGAGCTGTGGCCATCTGGTTGATCTGAAAATTCAAGATCTATGATTTCAATAGTCTGCTCTGGATGTATGGCTAACCACAACAGATCAAAGGTTGCAGTTTTTTTTTACTGTGCCTGCTTGCCTGAGGTTTTGGCAGGAAGATTCAGATACCTAGTATATATACCATTTTGCTTTCCTCTTGAGACAATTACTTTAGGATGACAAGTATTCTGCTTGCAATTAATTTTGTTGGTTTTCAAATACTACTAGTTATTGCCAAAAGTCAATATATTAATATTATGTCAACTGAAGAAATCATTACCCACTCAAAATTATGTTTAGAGAAACTCAAGCTTGGGCTTTTACATCATGCTGCTGAAGCAAGTAGTTTAAATGCCTCCCTAAAAAGCACAGCAAAATGTAGGGGTTATAAATCTGAGAGTAATTATGTAATGAAACACTAATTAATCCAACACTAAATCAGTCATACAATTAAACCCGATGTAAAATCCACTTTCCTTAAATAGAATTTCAGTGGTTGCACCCTTTTATAAGAAGGTAAATAATTTGTATTATATCAAAACCAGTATGTGTATTTTGGCTGCAAGAGTCACGTGCACCAACCCCCACTACAAAAAACAAGTGACTTTCCAGCTGTTTCTTCCAAATACACAGGTTTAGCTATATAGGAGAATTTATTCTCATAAACATTTCAGAGACTGTACTGCTGGGTCAGCACTTCTGCCATCAAGTGCTCCTCAAGTCTCCTGCATTCCCCTCTTCAGTGTGCCTTTCAGTAATCTTTTGAGCTGGCAGTTATCAGGGTTTCCATGGTGTCCCACCCTGGGAGCCATTTCAAGTAATCTGTCCTTTGTCTCCAGATCTGGGTGTCCTTTGAAAGCTCTGGTATGAGAGCTTGGGTCTGGAAAACCAGTTAATACAGGCCATGCTGTAAGCACCTTCCCTGCTGTGTGTTCACTTCTGGTGCTTCCACATGTTTCTGTTCATCCCCCATTTACAGCATTTTTAGCCTCTTAAAATTCTCTACAGTTACTTTACTACTTCATCTTAAGGCCCAGAATGAATTTACACTGAAATAGTAATAGGAATTAAGTTTGCTTTGTATTTAAGTATTTTAAGCAGAAAAGCACAATTGCAAAGATGACCACAAAAAAACCCCTTTTCTAAATATCAACATTACAAATATTAAAACTTATTTCTTAAAATCAACATAAATTATGAAAACAGTAATATTTGCAAAAGCAGCATCTACAAGAACTTTTCCAAGCTAAAATGGATTTAGGTTTTGGTTTATTTCTGCAATAGTTGAACTAAGTTTGGCATCCAAGAAACACTATATTCTTGATAGTGATTTCTTCTATTTTGTGAAAAGAAATCTTACCTTTCCTTGTTTGACAATATAGTAGGGATTACTGCGAGAAAATCCAGCACTTTCAAGAAGATTCATTACATCATTTTTCCTGAAATGTTATTGTGAATCTATTAAAAACACTTACAGTGAAAGTGACAGCTGTAAAAATTCAGTAAAGTATCACAACTATACATCACATACTATAATCACTGTGTGCAATGCATGTTTGGTTTGAAGAAGCTTCTTTATTTGATAATAGCCAATTTTAAAGTGAAATGAGAGAATAAAAATGGAAAGTATCTAAAACACTATAGCATTGGAAAGAGATTAAGAAAGAAGCACCTTGAAGCAAAGAGAGGGCAAATACAGGTAAAGATATCACAAGGAAGAGATATGAAACAAACTGAAGTCTGGTACCTCTTCTATTTTAAAAAGCCCTGAAAGAAATATTATATAAGCAGTTAAACATCATGTTAACGAATGGATTAAATTCTAAATTCAGAGTCTGCTGTCTATTGCACAAGGACTGATGTCCTTGCTGACAAACTACCAGTAGTCAGTATTACACAACTAAAGTAGTACTGCTCATGGAACTCACAAGAAATAAGTTACTTCAGGCTAGAGACATACGTGTTTGGTGTGACTACAGAATTTTACAAAAACATTACTAGGCTCATTCAGCTAAGGAAAAGAAGTACCTACGTCACCATTTTCTTGTCTAAGAAATATTGGTCCTTCTTGGCTCCAATGACTCTGCGAAGTGAGACTTCCTCTTTATCAATCTTAAGAAAACAAAACCCAGTAAATTTAACTGCTATATTATACTGCTATCTATGCTAAACATACCTATTTAACAGTAGGTATGTATAACTAATCCAGAACGTTTATGGTACTCAAAAGCAGTTACTGACTGAAGATTTCTATAATACTGAGATACTAGAGTCTGAAGTGATCATCTGTTTCTGAAGTAGTGTATTCAACTTACCGGTAACCTGTTGTCCGAATTGTCAAAAATAATTTCCACAAAGGCTGAAATCACACGAGGACCTGTACCTTCCTAAGAAAGGAGATATTTTGGTTAGGTAATTCCCACCTTAGGATTGCAAACTCATTCATCTCCCCTTTTGCCTGACAATGTCACTTCCCCTTGCCTTCCCAGGATGAGAGTCAAGAGCATCTATGTAAGATCTAGTACTTATACTTTTAATTCTGAAAAACTTGGATACACATTCACCAATGTGCATTATCAGCATAATGTATTATTTTGTAATAAGTTCCCTTTTGCCAAAGGGAAACAAAAAATGTTTAAGGATGCTTCCAAAATAATTGGCTTAAAATATCCACAGCCCATGGTAATGGTAAATTACAAAAATTACCATTTTTGTAGTAACATTCAAATACATTAGCTTATTCTGTAGTCATCTTGTTATACACCTTCACTTACATGCAACAAAGCCAGTCTCTGCTCTGGGCGAAGATGACTAAACTCATCACTGAGGACAAACTGAATTGCTGTAATAAAATAGCAAAGAAACAGAAGATTTATTCTTTCCTTTAGGGAGATATGCAGCAGTTTAACTCATAACATGCTATTTTACTGTTGCATAGTACAGCCACGGTGCTGCTAATATCTTACAATGTTTCTTCATTAAAAACCTCAATCTGCTGGATCTTTCTCATTCAGCCTGCTGTACACTAGAATTTGTCTGAAGAAGTCTCATTGTCACCACCACACTAGTTCACTGCATAAGCATTTACAATGCTGCACAAGTAGGGATTCACGAGCTTTCCACTACACATACACAGCACACAGGCTAGGGTAAAAATATGGCTTAAATACTTGACACTTGGCAATTTATAAAGACTACCATCAAAAACAACTAATACCTTTGACTAGCATCTTTTCTCCCCCACTGATGCTCACACCCCACAAAATCCCCCTCATAACCATAGGTTAAAACGCTGTATAAGCTGTGCCATACTGCTATGGAATCAGCTTAGAATTTAGCCACTAAGAGTGTCTACAGTAACTGCAAATATCACAATCAGTTTTCAAGGTGAGTGACTTTTAGACTCAGTTTCCTCCTGTAAATACTTTTTTGCCATTTAAAAATATTAGAAAGCCCTTAGTAAGAGAAGTCACATATTGGGAAAAAATCTGAAGGTAAGGATTAAACAAGTGCATTGAGATCTGCCTTTCATCATTGTCAAGCAATGACCAATCTGTCACTCTTTGTTGAGGAGGAACATTTAGTAAACAAACCTGTGGCAAAAACAAACAAAAAAACACCCCTGGTATCATCAGAATCCCTGTGCTATTATATTAAGAATTCAATGCTTACCATAAAAAAAGTTGCTTTTTCCAGATCCATTTCTTCCCACTGAAAATTAAAACACAAAGTATAACCTCAAGTTGACATGAGTTAATATTGCAATGCACATTAAATTTTGCATATAAATATTCAAGAACAGAACCCAAATATAACACAGCAAAACAAAATCTCAAGGGAATGAGGCCAACTTACAGATAGATCACTTAGTCATTGCAGGAGGACAGGAGAGCAGTCCTCTCCCCACTCCAACACATGACAATGACTTACAACTCCAACACTATTCCACAATGAGAATAATGGTTACACCAATCCCATTGATGGTCATCCTTTTCTTTTGAATACCAGTCTTCTGGTGGGATAAAAACAGTAGACCTAAATCCAATTCTTCTGCTCCCAGCATCAATTTTGTATATTTAACCAAAGAAAATCACTTGCCTGTACATTCAGGTTGACTGTATGAACTTCAGGCAGAGTATGAACTTCTTAACACTCTACTTGTTCATTCAGCAATGTTTTGTTTTAAGAAGACTGGAAGAAGTACTATTTTAATTTAAAAAATAAAGGTGTAAGAACCCTGCCCTAGGCTAACATACAGTAATCTCAGTGTTCATTCTCATGTGTTTCAGAAAGGCTCAATGTTTTATCTTTAAGATCAGCACCTCCTGTATTAATTTCAAAACTGCTTACCTTCCAGCAGCAATGAGCATCCCAGGCTTTTCTCCCCTTACTGCATACGTGCCCTCCACATTCACCTCATTCCCAAACTACCCAAGACTGCTATGAGGTCTTTAAAAATGAAAAAATACTGAAGCTGGATTTTTTTTTTCCCCCCTTTTAAAAACAGTAATACCTGTATAAGGTTTCAGCTCCCACTGAAGTAACATTATATAACAGAACATGCTATTCAAGTCATCTGTACTTTTTTCCCCAGTCTCAGAGTAAATCCTGACTACTAAGTTTTTATGTCCAAAATTGACTGTTTTCTGTTGGTTCATTTTAGTCTCAAAGTTGCTGCACAATCACTAAAATCAATGCAAATGAAAAGGTAGGACCAGGCATCCATGGACAAAACTAGAAAGAAGCATGAAAACAGTAAACAACACACTGTTACATTAGGGGTTATTTATGAAACTTATATTACACTTTTTGACAGTCCACATTCCAGAAGTTCATTCCTCCAAAGCTGGGTAAAACAGGATCTTCTTCTCTGCAGCAATTTACAGTAGCTAGTGTGCTTACCTATCAAAAGTGATCACCCTTGCATGCCAAAAAATAAAGAGAATCCCATATAAATTCTCTGCTGCTGTTCCTGCAAGGACAGCCTTTAAAGGGAGTCTGGCTGATTAAGAGTTCTGCACACATGGAGTTCACAGATCTCACCCTGTTTCTGAAGACTCAGACATACTATTGTCACAGTAAAATGGAATGCCAGCATTACTTTGCTGTACGTGACATGTTACAGTCAACTGGAAAGAAGTTTCCAAAAGAGAAAACAGAGTAATCAAATGTAGGCAGAATATTAAAAACTATAAAGGACTTTAACATGAACATTACCTGAAATAACAGTGCACCTCTAGGTAGTGTTAAAAGACAAGAATCCAAACTCACCAATGACATTGTGTTTTGAGCTGAAGGGGTCCACGATGGTTTGGTCCCTGTAGCTTCGAAAGCCCTGAATGATTACCTAATGAGAGGAGTGAGTTATTTTAACACAGTTCTCTCTGTTCTTGAGCAGTTTTTGAACTGCAAGATTTTACAGAATATTTACATCAATCATAATGTACTTTATTTCCCCCACTCTTGCCACACACACTTCAACCTTCCAGCTCAAGATCACCAACTTACATCATAACACTTGCCCCTCATCTAAGCATCACTTTAGGGACAGACTTTTCTCCCCACATCACAAGAGATGCTGGTACTTACCTCGGTCAAAAGAGTTCTGAGAGTCTTTTTGTAACAAACTACATAAAAAGATGTATTTGTATCAAATGTTACATACAGGAAAGAAAATCCCAATATAACAAGCACTTATCCTAGTAGGGCCAGATTTATATTTAATTTTTATAATGCAATCCACATACAGCATAAGAATCCCATTTGCAAATTCTCCAAGCAGAACAACTGCAGACTGCCAAAACTATACCAGACTGCCTATTTTACAGACAATATAGTCTTGTTTTGTTTTAATGTGCATCCTACAGGGAAAAGTAAAAAAGCAAGCCATCTTGGTTCTATTGAATTCAATTCCTAAATAGACAAATACAAACCTACACAATTAACTTCAGAAGCCACACAGTAAAGAGTCATCTAGAAGCAGCACATCAAATTTCAACTATTCAATTTCAGCAGTGATCTGAGGTTTGCTAGGCCAAGTAACATGCGAGGTACAGAATGACAATATCCCAATACTTCAGCAGTTCCACACAGCGGCAAAATCGATCAAACTTTCAGCAGGCACATTCCAGCATTAAGCAACCTTTTCCAAACATTAAAGCTGTGCTGAATACAGCAGCTTTGTTCTGCTCAGTCAGGCATCAGAAAGACGGGAGCCATCTGAAAAGTTTTGATGTTCACAGATCTTTCAACAAGAACACTTACAAAGGGACTCGCCTTAACATTTAATCATTAAGTCCTCTGCCCAGCTCTTCCGCAGCAGAAGCAGCATACTGTTAAAATAACGTCGATGTTTCACCGCAGTAGCTATCATAAACTAAGAATGACTTGTTAGGAAGACAGCAAAACACCTTACAAGATAATTCTCAATATTATTACTGCCTAAGTTTAGAATGTGAAATTATTTAGACTTTCTTTGGTTTGGAAGGTCTATGGTCCCATCATCATTTTCTATTTTTCTGAACATGTCATCCCTTCTCTCACATCTTCAAGTATTCAAATAGCCCATGTTCCAGAAATAACACTTGCTATCCAAGAAGCACATACAAAACTTCAGCAAAAAAGCCTAGAAGTTATACTGTAAACATTACAGCAAGCCTTCTCCCCCTGCTACAAAAACCTGTATTAACTGTACACCTGAGCAACTCAAGAAACAATTACCTTCAGAACCACATTCATACTCTGTAAGATTCTGGTAGCATGCTACACAAGAGTAGGTGAAAAATCCTGTTCATAAAATGTACTAGACTGGGAAAGTGCCCTGACTTTCAAGTTCAATCCTAAGCCTTTCTCCCACTATGTGACAATCCATTACCAAAACTATCACAGAAAACTCCTCTTGCCACCTGTTTATAGTAATGGATTAAAACAGTCTCACTAATACTGAATGAAAATGCCATGCCAGACAGCAAAATCGAACACTCAAGTTTATAAAAACTGAAATTAAATAATACTTAAAAGGCATTAACTTTTAGTCAGAAATCAGAGTAATTCTCTCCCCAGCCACTACATCTTCCTTGTCAAATCCTCTTTGCAGTTATTTAATTACTGGAATCTGAAGCTAAGAATATGGGTAGGCAGAAAATTACTAATCCTTGACCAACAAACATCAGATCTAAGCAACAGCAGCTAAAAGGCACAGTCTGACACTTTCTCCAACACTTTGCCTATCTAAACCCTTTTTGAATTGTAACTCTCTATACTCCCTCTCCTCAGGCAAGATACAGCTCTGATTAAGCACCTGCGCTGTATTCAGTTCTAAATCCAAAGCAACGGTATTGGAAGTAACTCAGGATTTCAGAATGGACCTAACTAAAGAAACTAAGTTTAAGACAACGTATTAATGGAACACTACCCAGTCAGTGTGGCTGTGAACACAGGCCCCCACCTCCCTGCACAAATCAGCCTGCCTCATCTGCCAGATGGAGACTTTCGCAGTAATGGCAAGTTCTGCCTCAGTGCCAGCGGCTTTCAAAGGAAAAACGGGAGCAGCAAATCTTACTCAGGTCTTGCCACCAACTCTAGGCCACAGCAGCTATGTTTACTCATTTTTATTTTGAAAAATAAATTAGAATTTTAAAAACCCAAAACCACAGAACAAGACATTTGGCAAACAATGCTGCTTCCCAATTCACCACATTTCGGGGGGGGAGGGGAGTGAAACAAATGAGAAAATTTTGGTCTCTACAGTTTACCTATAGTATTCTAAAAACATATAGACTGAAATAATTCATCTACTTTATTCTTATAAGAACCTGAAAGCCTCTACAAAAAGGTAAAACCAACCAATCATTATTTCCTGGATATCACTATAGGAAGCACAAACTTTTACCACCCACGTACTCGAGCACCACAAGAGTATGATACAGGTAGTTTTTTTCTAGATGGCTTCTCACTTCATCCATGCTACGAATTCTGAAACATCATAACTTCTCATTGCCTTGTATAGCCTCGGATTAAAATTTAAATAATTTTAATCTTCAAACTCCAGGAATGATTTCTGGGAAGCAACAAATTAAGGTATATTGGTGGAACCATATTCACCCTCATCCTCATGTTCACATCTTGTTATGTTCTCTTCTACAGCTCCCAGAATAGTATTGGATATAGGCCACTAACATTTCTTTTTTTTTCAGATGGAACTCATTTCCCCTTTTCTGACTTAATTTAGACTTCTATGTATCTCCACTGCTGTCTACTTTTGTGCAATCCAAGTCTGGAGAACAAGAATTCTCATTCAAAGACTTTAAAGCAACGTGCACACCTGCAGTGATTTGCTAAAACAGTCGATGCAAACCTGATTTCTATGTAGAACATAACTCTGAAACACGATAAAGTATTCTTAATAAAGATAATCGTAGGGTCTCAGAAAGGCAAATAAATTTTGAGACCACTGAGAAATGAGAATCCCAGTAGGCTCTGTATGAACGTGCACAGGCAGTGGTGGAAAAAACCCAGCCATAAAAACTGAACCATGCTGTGCAATACACTATGGAATACAACTGCAGGGATATGCTACAGAAGCAACATTAATGATCGCCTCAATCTTAAAAGCTGTTTGGAAGGGGTGCATCTAAGGCCCCTTTTTTAACGGAATATTAGCTGTAGATTGCTTGTCAAGGATGAAGTATTAAATGGTCCATGCCAGGGGCCCTAAAGCATCATCCCAATAGGAACAGTAACTGTTGTTTCTCCTGGGGGAAGGGGCAGACAGGGCCAGTTTGAATTGAAACCCAAAGCACGGTCAACATTTCCCCATAAAAACTACATGCAGATATTGAAAAAAAAAAAAAAAAGTAAAAGAGAGGAGAACCCACAACTTTAACAGCTGAAAGATGCCGCCTGACTGCTGAGGAGAGCCCCTTGTTTGTGTACGAGCGCCGCGTGTTTGGGTACACGCCTCCCAGCCCTGGTCGGCGGTGGCCTGGAGGACCGGGACACCAGAGCTGCCCCGTCCAAAGGGTCCCCACAGAGCCCGCGAACAACTCCCGGGTCCAAGAGGGCCTCCCCCAACGCCACCTTACACCTGCAATG